AAATTTAATCTTACGGAAATTCCATGCACAGTTGTGTCCAAAACGTGGAAGTCTTTCCACAACAATCGCGCCTTTTTGCGTCCCATAAATTTCGCTTCCACTGATTTTATTCGTTTGATACCAATTTAATTCGCGCAGAGGCTTTAACTGTCACACGACACATGGAATAAAGTTCATTTATCGCGATCATATGATATCTCGAAGGTGCTTCAGTTCACCCTCTTGCCTCTCACGAGGTGCGCGCAAAAGACTGTGTATTTCTGGTATTTTCTTTATGAAGACGGATGGATTTTTAATATCATCTTATCACCACGAGTTCACGGAGTTGTTCGACAGAACCACTACCGGAATTAATATTACGTATGTGACCGGCTCGTGGGGTGGTGAGAAAATTAATTTCTCCACCAGCATTAGGCGCCTTTCGACGAATTGGCTGAGACACTCCCCGAAAAAAGAATTCTTTTGTTGCCTACTCGCGAAGCATATTTGCTGGATGATTTTTCCATGTCATGTGCCTTGGCGAGTCGCTCTTATGCAAATATCTTTCTCCCATTCGGTGTGCCGTGAGTTGTTTTTCTCCCCGCATCAATTTATTATTCACCTCGCCATTATAGATTTATATATTTGCTTTGAGAGCCAAATCACGTGAGGCTCCTTTCATTTTTGCACACACTTTCCTTAGACGCCCATTCAAAAAGACACTCTTTTTCACCACCGAGCAAATGCCAAACTCAACAGATTTCCTTCTCTCACACTCTCGAAGAAGCCTTGGACAAAAAAGACCAGAGCTTCAACACTTGGCCCAGTGTCTCGGGCGAGAAGAAAGAGATAATAAAAGCAATGCAAAGTCAAAAAACCACGTGAATATTTCACTCTCTTCGCAGCTCAGAAAGCGAAGAAGGAGAAGAAAAAAACTGTAGCTGAGATACTTCAACTTCGCAATATCAGCAAATCTCATCGAGATGCAATAAATTTTCTGAGATATCTCGCGATTCCGTGTCATATTTTCGTCACTGACACACACACTTCAAATTGTCTTGAAAAGCCCCCTCGAAGTTTTCCAAACGACTTATGGGAGTGAAATTTCTCGCTCGGCAAATCAATGTCAGGAAAATTATCTGGCGATTCCCTTGCGAATGACGCACTGTTTATTACATTGCTCCAGCATTTAATTAATATGGTAATGAACAGAGTGAGACAGCGAGACAGTTTGCTGGCAATTTGAGGGCAGCTTTCTGTGCTTTCACCCCTCGAAGCAATTGCACTTTAACCCCTGCATCATCACTCACAAGCTTGATAGGGTTAAACTGTTCAAACGAAGGAAAGTTTGTAATTGCAATCTGAGAATTTTGTGAGAAATTCACTCAATTCACTAGAATTTTGAAGCAATTTTAAATAGAAATATTTTTATTAAACAGAAATTATTATAAATTTTTGCCAAACTTTTTCAGTTTAATTACAGTAAATTAATTTCAGTTAATTAAACTGTCTTAAACGGCAATATTTCGTTTAAAATCTGCATTGAAAAACATTCTAATATCAGATTTCCAGGATTTTCTTTTAATATTTGTTCCTAAAAAAACTTAAAATAAGAAAATAAAGCGTATTTTTAATACAGAACTTTGAAAAAATTAATTTCTCACAATTTTTTTGGATAAAATGTACTCAAAATCTATTTAAAATCGTCTTTGGACACTAACTTTGCAATATTTCAGTCAAAATTCTAATAAATATGAATAAAATCAATTGAAATATTCACAAAATAAATAAGGACAATAATTAACACTTTATCAAAACATTAGCGGGTGTTTTTAGTTAAAATTCGTCAAATTTCACAGCGAAATTAACGCTAAATTTTCAGGTTGCTCCCCAAAAACTTGCAGATTTGAATTTTTTAACTTCTTAAAAGAGCTTCTAGGAACTCAAAAACCTGTAAAAAAGTTTAATGTTTTTTAAAACACCCCAAAAACTTGTAGTGTTTAAGGAAAATCGCGCTTTCAAGGTTTATTTTCTCTGACTACGTTTTTAGCAAAGTGTTTTTTTTTATAGAAATGTTATCTTTTCTTTGAGCAGCCATATTTTTTCTTACTCATCATTTTGAAAGCTCAGCTGCCTTAAGTTCAGTCATTTATGGTCAACATTTAATTGAAATTTATTACGAGGAAACTACTGATAAGTTTTATGGAGTATCCATCATTGTTTGTGGGGCGCAATTGATAAATTTATTTGCACAGTGTCGAAAAATGGTGAGAATCTGACGATTTGTGACTGCAGAGAAACAGAATTGGCCTGTTGAATTGGCCAGCGAAAAGGCACTCTAAATTATTTGGGGAAGAATTGGCAGACGTTCGGAAGTCTCGCGCGTCGAATGACACTAACAAATTACATGATCTTGTCTTTGAGAAATTTTCCATAACCACCGGTGAGTTGATCCCAATCGCCGCGCCAGCGGCTCTTTGGGCGCGAGATGGACAGGTGAATTGGGCGAGAGTGTGTATTTTTTTGGCCGCCTCGTGAGAATGTAGGTGACAGTGTTGCTCCAATGTGCCACTGTTGGGCCTGGAAATTTATTACAAATATCTTATAAGCCTTGTCAACTGATCAATTGGAGGAGACGAAGGCTAATCAGTCACAACAGTGCGCGAAATGAGTTTGCGCCACTCCTCGATAAGAATTAAAATCAAATCAGCATTCTTGATAAAAGGAAAGAGAAGTGAAATAGACCCCAAAAACAGCTCTACGCCCTCCCTCTAACTACATCATCACGTACTCTTTGTGCTATTTCGGACTTTACATAAAAGATTTTTGCCAACATTCGCCCGACCTCAGTCGTTGGACGTCCCTCCAACGGACAGTACTCTCTTGTGCGCTCATCCACTCACTCTCACCATCCGCAGGCATCCCGAGGACCAACTCTGCCGCGCCGGAGGACAGTGCCGAGGATCCCGTGAGCCACGTGAGCTTTATGCCCCTCTGGACAAGTCGCATCGGACGGGCCCCTCGCAAAAAGCAACTCAAGTGCACCAGAGAAAATTCCCGCCAATTTTCCACCGCTTAATAACTTTGTGAGTGACGATTGTATATGGTTTGCGAAACCACTCGAGTGATTAGAGGAGAAGACAGAGAGACATTGAGAGTGTGTAAAAAAAAAAGTGTGTGAAAAGTAATCGAAATGAGCAATAATCAGGAATACAACAATCGGAGGAAACTCTCGTTTCTTGGATTCAATCCAAAATCCGGGGTGAGTCGAAAGCTATTCATTAAAGACTATCTCAAGTGTGTAGTTAATCCTCAGCGCATTTAACTATTAATTTGAAGTGTGTGTCTCCTTGTCGCTGAGCTCGCTCTTTACAATTATCACACGCCGAGGGATTATTAATTATCAGATAATTTGTGGTTAGAAAGTCTGCCCACTTTCTTACGCTCTTTTTTGAGCAACATTTTATCAATATCTGAACCTTGGGAGATTAGCTGAATTCTATATACGAGAATTGCGTGGTCTTATCGTGACGCGCGCGCGATATCATGAACTTGACAGTGAAACTATCAATTTCTTCTTCCGCTACGCCCACGCTTTTTCGAGGAAGTGCAATCATCGTCCAATGCTCTCGTGACCCCGTGAACTTTTCCCGTCTTCTTGCGTGACCCTATTTATACGCAGCTAAATGGCTCGCGTGGTCAATTTTTGGGGCGTGTAGCTTCTGAGCCTCAACAAGTGGCATATTACAAATGCATATATTGATTGGCCGAAGGCTTTGTTGCTCCTCGAGCAAGGATTGTCCACTGGCGCATATGAATTGACAATCAAGGTCGGCCTGTATTGATTGAGATGGTTTATAAATTAATGACTTAACATTTGCGTGCGAACGTCGCCCAGTATGACCAATAATTGATGGGCAAATACTCGTCGCATTTTTCCGTCTTGACCTTGATTACAGAGAGAGAGGAAGAAGAAAACATCGCAACTTAGAACACGCAAGATAATTAGCGAAAATCACACTCTTCTCGTGACAAAATTGCAACAAAGTTGGAAGAAAAAAACACGACAAAAAACACCAGAGAATCAATACATTGCAAATGCCAGGAAAATGTCATTTCTTCATCAGTGATTTTCCCTTCTTGGTTCGCTTCAATATATTGCATAAACCAATATTAAATATCAATTTTTTTTCTTTTTAATACAACATCGGCTGATGAACGTCATATACAATCGACAAGAATAAATATGTCTTCAGCACCAGCAGTAAAAATATTCTCGGGGGGAAATTGATTTCCGAAGAACAACTGCGGCAATTGCATTTTCTCCGGAGAGCAAATCTGGAGACAAGTTGACAAATTGTAGAGGGAGAATTGATGGGTGTGGGAAAGACGTTAACAATCTAATGAATTCTAATAGGAAAATCTGTCAAATCAATCAATTTCACGTGTTGCCATTGAGATAAATCGATGGAATGAAATCACCTCCCACGACTTCACGAAACAATACAAATGTCTGGCAAATATTTCGGGGGATTCAGCGGAAGTCGCTTTCAAGCAAATTGCCTCGGCACACCAATATTGATTAGGAGAGCCACAAGGGGGGGAAAGTGGAGGATTAAGTGATTTCGCTAGTGACATTGAGCATCTATTAATATCACTTTTCGATCACATTATGCGTGGGGTTGGGAAAATTTCTCGCCCGGAAAGTCAATAGAGACACAAAGTGATGATTTTACTGTAAATATACGACAGTTTGTCGTGAAAATTTGACCCCAGAGACGACTTGACACTGGTAATTAATAATTCGACGAATTTTGTGGGGGGAAAAGGGTTGAGAGAACACGGGGGATGATGTCAAGTGGGTGGGAAAAATTGACAGCAAAATCAAAAGAAAATAGGAAAAGCATTGAATTGTGCTCTTTGGCAAAATCTCTCTGTCGATGGAAAATGCTGCAAAGAGTGTGGAAAATCGAGAGAGAGAGAGTGAGTGAGAGTTTGGAGAGAGAAATTGCAAGGAGAATTTTCAGCATTTCCTCCCAGTCTCGAGCTGGCGGTCGTGGCCGAAAGACACTTTTCTCCTAATGCTGTTCTTCCGGCAAAACGCTGAAAGTCGGTCACACGCTATCCTTAAGGACTCTCGCTGAAAAGCCCTGAGCGTGAAAATCGGTCGTAAATGCGCCTGGGAAAGTGAGTGAATCAGGTGTGAAAATTGACCTAGAAAAGTGGACTTCCAACGTGAACTCTACCCACTTTTTGTGGCTTTAAGAGAGGGAGCCGTAATTCGTGGGAAAATCAATTCGGGGTGTGTGGAAATTGAGCAAATATTCGCCAGGGGTGCAATTTTCGTGGACTTGCAGTGTGTGCGCGCCGAAAGGAGACTCTGGAGGACACAAACACACGAAACTGGAGTGTTGAAGGCTTGTTTAGGCATCCGAAAAGGGGGATTAAGTGCATTAATGATATCACGACGGGTTGATTAAAGAGACTCACATGGTTAAACTGAGGCCATAAAAGTTGTACAAATTCTCACGTACGTTCTTCGCGTGCCAAAGAAAACTGTCGAAAGTGTTGAATAATCCACACCGAGAGTTCACTCGCGGGTTAAGAGATTAGCACAGGAGTCAGTCAGTATGAGGCGGAGAAAAAAATAAGGGAGATTCGCTGGGATCGACAGTGACAAAGTGTCTGTGAAGTACCTGGAAAAAAATAGGAAATATGTTCAAACTGTGACTGTCTCGAGGTGTGCGTTGTACATTTCCATTAATATTCCGCTCAATAATTCAATAAATCAATTAATTAACCAAGAAGCGTAAGAGCGCGTGTCCTTTTTTTGGACGACAAGGAGTCACTGAATTTCCTTCGGCACCGTCTCGAATGTCACGGCGAAAGACGTGCTCGTCTGGTCAGTTGTCGTCCTGCTATGTTCAGGAACACATCCGGACAGGACAGCACGAAAATTCCCGCCATTCACGCGCAAGACTCCACGAGGGGACTCTTCAGGAAGTTCACTCTCAAAGTCATCGAGTGGATACGGAAGTCAGTGGAGCTGGGCAGAAATGAGGTGACGAAGAGATGGGTTGGGCGTCGTCAATTGGCTGAGGAATGCCAGGCATTCATTGCTAAATTCAATCATGCAATTACAAATGCCATCTCTTAATTTGCGCACTTAATGTGTTCACAGAGTGACAATGGAGATCCCAATGAGGTGCAGTTGGACGAGGAAATGGAGAAAGTGTTCGCCGGCTCGGATCGCGAAAAGGAGAAGTTCAATGTCCTGCAATTGGCCGGATCAGCAGATGAAAAGCCCCAGCCGTCGCCAGTATCAGGAAAATTTATCGATACTGACAGTGATCGTGAGTATTTTTCCCCACTTAATCCTCCCACCGCAAAACCATTAAGGGTTTTCACTAATGCGCTTATCAAATTATTCCGCTTTAAGTCCTAAAATCTCATTTCCGAGTATCCTTCCGAGAATTCTATTTACCGTGAATAAATATTATACTGCTCATTTTTCTCAGAATGACTGAAAAATTCCTGGAATCGCAAACAGGTTTTTTCCTACGCGCAATTCTTTCTTCGTCAGAGATTTTCAAGTAGATTTTATGAACAACTACATTATTCAAATATTTTATTGAAATGATTCACCGTCTCAAGCAGTCCAGCTGAAAAAGGCTCGTCCTTCAACTTTAACAAAATATATCCCTGCTCATAACTTTTCCTATTTACATACTGTGGAGGGATAAAGTCAAGGGGAAGATAATATGCTTTGAATCTGTACAACACTTCCTGACACTTGCGAAGTTTCTGTGCAGAATTTAAAGGCATTTTTCATCACTTTTTAGACTCCTTCGACTGTTTCTCACGCTCATTTTTGACTTCAGAAAATGCTTTTCACAATTCTGATCAAATTGTGAGGTTATGAAATCGATTTAAGTCTCCTAAAAACCTGGAAATTAGTAAATATAGTGAATTTCTGAATGTATTAAGCAAAAACCGTGGAAATAACTAAACAAAAAATATTTTTCCAGACTAAAATGAGATTTTTTGAGGTTATGATTGACTTTTAAGCTTTTCCTTAATCAAAATGTTGAAATCTGCCAAGAAAAACAGAAATATTTCCAGCTTAAACACATATTTGATGATTTTAAGGGTTATTTAATCACCAGAATCTGCTTTAAATCAATAACATAACCTAAAAATGAAGATAAAATTGATTTTTTAGGCAGAATTAATTGAGAAATGCCTCAATTTGACTTGCAATAAAAGCTGTACACCACTTCCGACCATAATATCTGTCCCTTGGACAGAGTCAACAGTCTCTCATCCTCAAGCAAAATGTCTGTCTCACTTCCAGAGCACCGCAACGAAACAACATATCCCCACACACATTCCCCACTCAAGTCCCGAAGCATGAAGCGCCAAGACTCCAAGGACACAAATTCCCAGGACGAGGATAAGAGGACACCCACTGTGATCCCGTACAATCGCGCCCTCCCACTGTCCTCGCCCACCCGCAGCCTGGGCGCCGGCAGTGGCGAGTCCGACTCCACGCCGCAGGTCTCGGAGCGAGCCGCGGCGGTGAAGAGGGATCACGACACTGAGGACGACGAGGAGAAGCGCATCAAGGTGAAGTTTGAGGGCAGCCAGGCGGACACGGACGAGGCGGAGGACACGAAGGATGAGCACGGCCGGCGCAGGAAGTCGCGCCATCAGCACTACAAGCAGCGCAAGCACTCGCTGTCCGACAAGCAGACCGGCGGAGCGCCCGAGTCCGGCGGCCGGCGGGTGTCTGTGCAGCCCGAAGATGCGACCCTAGACGTGAGTGACTCTCTATATTTATCCCCAATGCGTCTAATCATAATGTATGACCGTCCCTTGAGTACTCTGTGTCTTCCTTATTAAATTTGTTCATTACACAATCACCCACTGGATTTTCCGCAAAGCGAGGAAAACGTGGCAAGGTAGGAAGCACCAAATCCAATTAGTCCTCAACTCTCTTTGGACTCTGTCTTTTCCGTAGAGATTTTTGCTCGCAATTAGTAAACATCGTGTGGCTAATGAAGTGTGTTGTGATGCTCACAAGACAAAGTTCTGAACATGTTTGAATATTAATGTGTGTAATTTTGAGAGGCAAAAGTTTTCTTTTTATACATGAGAAAACGATGAGCTTTAGTGTGGTTTGTAGGAGTTGAACTTCAATATTCAATTCAGTACAATGAATTATACAAACACCCGATGTTTACTCTCTGTCTATTCACATGTTCCAAAAAGGCAAAAGATCAATAGATGATAGGATGTGACGAGATTATCCTCATGTCGTGTGATGGGATTTCGCTGAAATATTTTTCACCTGACTTTCCAGGAAGCCGATATTGATGAATTGACGTCGCATCGGTCGGACGATCCGAGAGGAATGCGTCGCCACAAGGTCCAGCCGAGCGGCAGGAAGGACTCCACGACGGTTCCCATGGGGAAACCGCCCACCGGAAAGAAGGCCATCGACCACAGTCCGCACGATGTGTTTGTGCAACTGGACGAGCTGGTGGGTCAAGGTGAGGAGGCTGAGTGGAAGGAGACCGCCAGGTGGATCAAGTACGAGGAGGACGTGGAGGAAGGATCAGACCGCTGGGGTCGTCCGCACGTGGCCTCGCTGTCCTTCCACTCGCTCCTCAATCTCAGACGATGCCTGGAGACCGGTGTGGTGCTCATGGACCTGGAGGAGAAGGATCTGCCCGGTGTGGCGTACAGAGTTGTGGAGCAGGTAAATTTCCTCTGAATTTACACACATTTTCACGTTCTAGGAAAGGTTCTGCTGGAGAGAGAACAGAGATTTATTCATAACACATTATTATACCCTTATAATTTATGAATTTTCGGCACACGTGGCGTCATTCACCCCCACGTTGCCACGCAATAATTGCGCTGCAGATTGATTTTCGCATAAAGACGCTGGGATATTTTTTCTTGACAGATGGTAATTGAGGACCTAATCCAACCAGACGACAAATCCACCGTCTTGAGGGCTTTGCTTCTTCGTCATCGACACGTGAATGAGGGCCATTCTGGCTTTCACTTTGGCTCACGGCGCAAATTCAGCAGCTACACGAGTTTGCAGGTAATGAAAGCTCAAAAGCTTTCCAGAATTTCACTCTCAGACTCTCCTCTTCTCTCATTTCTTCTTTTACTTTTCCTTTCGTCATTGTTCTATATATTACATTCTTATTCTCGCTCCATAACTTTCTTTCCATTTCATCTCAAAGCGCCCCACCCTTGACGAGGCAATTAACAGGGTTTTATGGGTTTTAGGGGATGATATTAAAAAATGCCAGCGCGTGTAAAATTTCCACGGCAGGCTCGAGAGCATGATGTGTAATAATCATTGGTCATATCGAGAGACAGAGGGAGAAACAGAGAGGAAGAATACAATATAATATTCAAAATAATACTGTTTTTTTTTGTACATTTTTCCATAAACCGCCTACACAATAACACAGAACCTCTCATACCGTGTTGTCGATCGCAGTTGGGAACACTTAATCTTTTCCTGGGTAAAGAAAAACACAAGACAACAAATACGCCGTAGGCATGAAGATGTTTCGTCTCTTAAATTACGAGATCTGCTAGCGGCTTAAGGCTACAAACAAGGGGAAAGTCACTCGCGATTTGTGATTATTCAATCATTTCTTGAGTTATATTATTTATTTTGACGATATGTTTGGCTTATCAACTTTTGAAGGCAAATTTCGCCTTTGGGAAAAACAATCGAAACTTTTACATGTATTTCGGAATTGATTAGGTCAAATTTTCTCTTTTCGCATGGTCAGAATGACGCCAGGAAGTCGTAAAGTGTGAAAATGCGTGAGAAAAGAGAAAATTATGCAAAAATGTGATATTATTGGCGTCCGCCACGCCAACATTGCTGCCCTCTGGCGGCGATATGTGGGGAAAATAATCAAATATTCAAATTTTGATTGTTTTACAATTTAACTTGGAAAAGAATCATTTTATTTAATTGAGACAAATAAGGATTCCTCTAAAATCGCCTTGTGACTTGCCCCTTGGCTACAACGCTTCGGATGAATCAAATATGTATGCATTGTGATGTTTTTGAGCCTCCCAAATAACAATCATCAAGAAACACACAGCAATCATCGAATGACGTTATCAGCTAAATACATACATTTTGAAAGGGGATGGATAAAGAATAGAGTGAAGAAAGTCAAGGCTGTGTTTCGCCAAATATTTACTTCGTGAAATTTTCATGTCGCCCAACATTTCGAAGAGAAACAACAAACAAACAAATTAATATTTCATATCTACCTTCGCTCACAGCTAATGGATATATATATATATATATGTGTTTTTTACCTCTTTACGCCCAAGTGTATTAATTACCATTGCAAATATTTGAATGTTATTCAAAGTATTTCTCCAGGGCGTCACATTTTGCCAATCATTCATCTCTCTTAATTCAAAAATTCTCTCAAATCATCTCTCCTTCTTTCTCACATTCAATCATCCCCCTCATGAGGTGGCCCGAAGAGTTGTGTGGTATTTAAGAAGCGAGGAGACTAAGGGTCTTGACATTTGTAGTCGTTGTGGATTCAGGATGAGCTGGACTCGATCGGTGTTAAGAATGGCGGTCCTCGGCGGCTCTCACGACCAACTGCCACAACAACCGACAGCTCAATATCCAGGCGCCACTCAACTCTATCCCAACTTCTATTCGTAATAAGACTAATATTTTATAATTCTCAAAGAGATGATGTTTTTCAACCTTCCTTTTTCTAACATTATTTCATAATATAAACACACTTCATTGAACTTTTTAATACATATTTCCCCAATTATATGTATTGATAGTGGATGAATTCCTTTTTCTTTTTTAATAACTCTTTCCTCATGAAACATCTTTTCAATATAGAGATGATTAACTTTTGCAATTTCTTTCTTAATTTTATCTCCTCCCTTTTCCGAGGCGGCATCAAGTGTGCGCTCAGTCGCATTAAACTGACATGACTTTGGTCACTAATCATGCTCTTAACCTAGATTGATTTCTGCGCCAAAATCCAAGGCTGGAATCTTACGTGAGACAATGTCGAGGTATTGTTTGGACTTCTCTAAGTCTTCATAATGCCGGAAAGAAGGACAAGTGCTCAAGCTCACCTTAAGGCATGTTAATAAATCTGAGAAAGCACTCTGTGATGCCACTTCTGGTTTCCAAGTTAGCCGCATGCTTTGCATATTTCTCCGGGTCTCCCGAGTGGGTGGAAGTGTGTATATTTTCCTCAAAGCCCGTCTATTTTAATCTCTTATATGAAAACGAAATGTCCTCATCCTTTGACGATGCGAATGACTTTCTTTATACATTCTTTCCCATTCTTCTCTTATCTTCCTCTGAAGCTTTTTTCCAGCATTTTTATTATGCTTTAGACAAGTTATATATCTTCCGTTGCTTCTTATATAGTTTTCTTTGTTATTTGTTGCCAATTTCCTCTTTCAATTTCATTCCTATTAATACAATACTTCCGTTTTTTTCCCCCTTCTTGTATCGTATGTGGTGAAATAGAACTTGAGTGACGACAAAAAGCCAAAGATTGTTCCGGCAAGTGATATCAATGGTTTCGGTGGGAATGAGACGAAAATCGATATCAAGGAGGAGGTTTACTCGTCATCTCAGGAGGATTTGGTGAGGAAGACGCAGAATGACACAATTCTGAAGCGGATTCCTCAAGGAGCCGAAGCCACGACGGTTCTGGTCGGTGCTGTTGACTTCCTGGATCAGCCGACAATTGCCTTCGTCAGGCTTGCCGAGGGCATCACAATGCCAAGCATCACTGAAGTCCCAATTCCAGTGCGATTCCTCTTCATCTTGCTGGGCCCCAAAGACATTGAGCTGGATTACCATGAAATTGGTCGCTCAATCGCCACGCTGATGTCCAACACACACTTTCACGGGATCGCCTACAAGGCAGACGACAGGAAGGATCTCCTGTCTGCCATCAATGAATTCCTGGACGACTCCATCGTGCTGCCGCCTGGGAATTGGGAGCGTCAGGAGCTGTTGCCCATTGAGGAGCTGAAGGCCAAGAGCGAACGCATCCGCAACAGGAAGGTTAAGGCGTTGGAGAAGAATAAGGACAAGCAGATCATTGCCGACGAGGAGAAGCGATTACTGGCAGCTGCTGAGGGCGATGGTGGCAAGAAGCCAACAGGACCACTCGAGAGGACCGGGAAATTCTGGGGCGGCGTGATCAATGACATTAAGCGTCGCTATCCAATGTACAAGAGCGACATCACGGATGGCCTTAACACTGAGACTCTGGCAGCCAGTCTCTTCATGTACTTCGCTGCGCTCTCCACTGCCATCACCTTCGGCGGCCTGGCGTCTGACAAGACACACAATCTTATCGGCATTTCCGAGACGCTGATTTCTCAGTCTATCGTGGGGATCTTCTTCCATGCCCTCTGCGGACAGCCACTGGTCATCATTGGCACCACTGGACCGCTGCTGCTCTTCGACGAGGCGCTCTATGAGTTCTGCAAAGCCAACGGCTTCGAGTTCCTCACAATGAGAGTGTGGGTGGGAATCTGGCAGATCGTGATTGCGTTGGTGGTGTCCGCCTTCGAGGGCAGTGGGCTCGTGCGCTTGTTCACCAGATTCACTCAGGAGATCTTCTCCGCTCTGATCACACTGATCTACCTCGTGGAGACGGCCATGAAGCTGGTGAAGGTGTACAAGAGACATCCTCTCCACGCTGAGTACAACTTCAAGAACATCACTCCACCAGTCGCTCCAATCATTCCTGCTGCTAATCTCGTTGCCGGCAATGACACTGACAATGCAACGGAAGTCACGACAATCCTTGGCGCACTGTCGGATGAAGTGTCCAGCATCCTGACCACCATTCAGGAGAATGTGACCAGCACCATTGCCACCACTTTGGCCACGCCAGAGACTCAAGTTTCCGCCGCGGCTGCCAACGACAGTGGTCTTCTTGCGCCCTTCGACGATCAGGGCCCACTCAATCAGCCCAACACCGCCCTCTTCTGCACCATCCTCACCCTGGGCACCTTCACTCTTGCCTACTATCTCCGGATCTTCCGCAACTCGCACTTCCTGGGACGCACCGCGCGTCGCGCTCTCGGCGACTTCGGCGTTCCCGTGTCCATTGCCATCTTCGTGGCGATCGACTTCATGATCCCGCAAGTCTTCACGGACAAGTTGTCAGTGCCCGAGGGCATTTCGCCCAGCGATCCCGACAGCAGGGGTTGGATCATCCCCTGGGGACCTGTGCCCATGTGGGTGCCCTTCGCCGCCGTGGTGCCCGCCATGCTGGTGTACATCCTCATCTTCATGGAGACGCACATCTCCGAGCTGATTGTGGACAAACCCGAGCGTGGCCTGAAGAAGGGCTCAGGACTGCACATGGACATTGTCCTGCTGTCCATCGCAAACACCATCTGCAGCTTCTTCGGCATGCCCTGGCACTGCGCCGCCACTGTTCGCTCCGTCACTCACGTGTCCTCCGTCACCATCATGTCCAGGTAGGAATTCCTCCCTTCGCTCTGCTGTCGGAAGACTCACTTCTCTCCCCCTGCAGGACTCACGCTCCTGGCGACAAACCCCACATCGTGGACGTGAAGGAACAACGACTCTCCGGCCTCTTCGTCTCCGTCATGGTTGGCCTCTCTGTGGCCATGGCGCCCATCCTGCGACTCATTCCCATGAGCGTCCTCTTCGGCGTGTTCCTCTACATGGGCATCGTGTCGATGTTCGGCGTGCACTTCTTCGAGAGGTGAGTTCAATGACTCTTCCAGGAATTCCAACGTCTAATCACACGCTTTCTTCTTCTCCCAGACTCAAGCTCTTCCTCATGCCCGTCAAGTACCACCCACCAGAGCCATTCGTGAGGCGCGTTCCCACGTGGAAAATGCACATTTTCACCTTCACTCAGGCCGCCGCCCTGGCAATTCTCTGGGGTGTGAAGTCCTCCTCATTCTCCCTCGCCTTTCCCTTCTTCCTCATCATGATGGTGCCGTTGCGTCACAAGCTCGGCACGTACTTTACGGCATCTGAATTGAATGCGGTGAGTTTTCTCTTTTCCGTGTGAAGCACCATTGTGTGTGGAGGAAGAAAAAAAACGTGGCAATTGTGTGTGTGATTCCTTTTCAGTTGGACGGAAATAAGCCCGATGTGGATCCAGACAATGAACCTGATTTCTACGAACAAGCAGGAATGCCATCCTAAGCAGAAATGCAAGCACACCTCGTATGGAGACAGTTTGATTTATAAAAGTGATTGCAAAAGTTAGTTAGAGAAAGGTTTTAAGAGCGTCCACGGACGCATAGGGAATGAGACAGAGTATATTTTGCTAGAAGAAATGCTTAAAGATGAGAAATATTTATTCTGTGAAGAGAAAATAATGTATTTTACTAAGGTATTTTGAGAAAAGTACCATATGAGATGGCTAAAGAAGAAAAACCCACACTTTTAATGAAAAAAAGGACCTTCTTTGTTAATCTGTTTATAGTTAAACCGTATGGTGCTCAAGAAATAGTAATCATTTCCCCAGAGATATGAAAGTATATTTAAATGAGAGTATGGAAAAACATAGTTTGTAGAAGAAAAATCAAATATTAGACACACTGTTCTTCGACAGAAATCAAAAGAATTCTTAGAAAAATTCTTGTAAATGTTCATTTCTTCGGCCAAAAGAGATGATATTTTTCCGATTTTCCTCTTAAAAGTATTTTTAGACAAAGTATTGTAATCAAAAAGAGTCAATTTTTGCCAGATTTGATTCTTCACTTAGTGAATAACATAAAGAAAAACGTTGAGAAACACATTTTGAAAATTCCCTGAAACACAAATGAAACATTGCTCAGAGGAAAAGAACAAGAAAAAAAACCATCATGAACAATTTTATGCTCGAAAAGTCACATTTTTAGTCAAAGAAAAGTACTTATATAGTAAACATATACTTAATAGACAAAAGGAAAAAAAGTATATTAAAATGAAAATATTGTAGAAAATGTTACATGAAATTCCACCTTTTTTTCTCTCTTTTTGTGAAAGGCTCAGAAAATGTGAAACATGGCAAGGATATGGATTGAGAAATGGTCGAGAAAACTTGCGTATTGAAAACAGTATCTGTGATTGATGAAAAGCTATGAACCGGCGAAACAGTGGATCAAAAAGTATTGCGTTGAGACATTGCACGTATTTTTTAGCAGCACTTTTCTTCAGAGTCTAACGATTTTAGTCCAAAATATACTTAAATATATATATTCATAGAAATTCAAGTTGAACTAATTCGTAGGTGAGAAACAAAACTAAGCCAATTTAGTGAAAAATCAACTAATAAAGTTACTTGAAAATCAATCTTTGACTTTTTCTCTTCTGGATTTGTGTTTATCTGAGTGTAAAATCAAAGACACAAAATTGAAGTTTCAAATGAGAAACGTTGCCTTTCATTGCCAGCAGAGGTCGTCGCAGTCTCATTGTGAAATGTTGGCAGCCGTGCGCGGACTGGCATGACAGCACTGACTGTTCGGCGAGAAAACTCAAAAGAATAAGAAGAAGAACCTTTTTGGTGAAGTTGCAACGCAGTTAAAAGGCACTTTTCCCCGGAGATTTCTGGAAAAACTAGTGGTGTTTGCTGGTGTAAAGTAGAGCGGATTGCAGGATGGATAAGTCACCGACAGGTGAGTGTGGAAAATTCCGCGGGAATTCGCGGAGTTTTAGGAGATTCGTGGGCCGCCTTGCAGTTCAATAAAGTGCAGGATCGGCTTTATCAAAATGCCCATTTTTCTGATAATGTTTTCCCGTAAAACGTGTGACCCTCGCTATCAGGAGACTTCTCGTGAATTCACTTGATGAATTATAGTGAGATTTGGGTGCAGAAAGTGGGAGAAATGTGGGTTTTGAGGTGGTTTTCAGGAAGGTTAAAGAGGTTTGATTAAGTCACACGATTGCTGTTGTTATTGCGATGAAAATTCCCAGTAATTACTGTCCGGGAGTCATGGGAAGGCCATCCGGTATCCGGAATCTCTGAGAGAGCGTGATTCAGATTGGAAATGGAAGCTGGGAAGCTGGAAAGCTCGTCGAATGTTGGCCATCTGCTCCTGACTCGCGATGAGTCACGGAAGCGGTGATTCTGGCCAGAGAATCCCCATCGAGAGCAGTGCTTTATCGGCGGCGGAGCCGCAATTGGCCATCGGTGAGTCACACCCATACACGCTCAGTCCAGACGCCACGTTCCAAAGGCTGCTTCAGGTGGAAAAGAAGACAGAATGACGGACGAGAAGAGGAAAACAAGAGCCATTGTGTGGCTTCGCAGGCGAGAAAGCAGAGGAATTCACCTTGGAAAAATCTCTTTGGCGATGATTCTGGGAAGTCTTTGGAGATGAGGAGCAAGAGAGAGAGAGAGAGAGAAAAGCAGGTTAAATCCAGGTGTGAAGATTGATTAGCAATTTGAGGAGAAAGACAAGAAACAATCCCGTTACTAGAGATCGACAGGCTCCACCTTATTGGCGATATTTAGCAGACTCTTGAGAAATTCAGCGCTCAGAGTTCAACGAAAAGACACACAGGGCAAGTCAGGCAAATTGCTGATTTCTTGTGCTTTCAGCGTTTAATATTGGTGTAAAAGGCCAAACATTTGAGTCGTTGCAACATTACGGATTTCGTATTTCAGTTTGTAAAAGTTACGAATTTCGGTTGCATCTTTACGCTTTTCATAACTTATATTGACAGCCGTCTGGTGGCGCTAGTGTAAAGTACGAATTAAATACAGATAACGATGAAAAGCGAAATTGAGAGTTTATTTAATACGTAATTCCGTTGTCAGAGTCATTTCCTTGAGACTATTTTTGAACCGCGGCTCTAAGAGTGTTTTTAGGCCAGACGCGGTACAAGAAGCGTATTTTTCCGTGATCTTCCCAAAGTGATCTCAAGAAACTTCCAGTTTTCAGTGACTATCGAGGAGTATTTTCAATGCAAAGGTTGCAAATGCTTTCGAAAATCAGTAAGTTTCTTTGGAAAGAGTCAAAAGATGTCCGGAAACACATAACCTCAATCTGGTAAATTAAGATGAGCACAATAGGACAGAAAAATTCATTCAATTTGTATTTATTAACCAGAAAACATTAATATTTTCGTATAGTTTCTTGATTTTCACATGAATTTTCTGGGTTTTCTTATCTTCACTTGACGAAATATATGAATTGACGTCAGACGTCAGCGTTTGAAGCGTTTCAGATGTCGCAGAAGTCAAATTCCCCACTTTTATAAATGTTATGAATCCATAACTTTGACAGCTTATTTAAAATTGTTATGATAGTAAAGTTCCAACGATTCCTTCGTCAGCCATTCAACCAATTGAATTGTGGCGCATTTTGTATGGTTCGCCGTGTGAAATCCATCGTTGATAAACTTTGAAATGTTCTTCTCATCTCATTGATAAATAATGTAAATACTGGAGTATAGTTTCTCGGCTATCAGAGACAGTTTGAGACTTGGTTTGTGAGTGAGTCATGAAGAGAGGCGAAGGTTGAGGAACCACACGCAATTACTATATTTTTTGTTGGTGGTTTTTTTTATGTGAGTCTTTTCAATGGTTGCTCGTGTGATGATGGAGAAACGAGCAACGCGGGCAAGACGGCACAGAGGCAAAGAGAGCGAGAGAGAGAGGCTCAAGTTGGCACCATTGCTGCAGCTGAAGAAAAGTGCGCGAAAGAGTGGACGTGGAAGAGCGAGAGGGCCGCGAAGAGAGTGCAATTTGCTGGGAGGGCAGCAGCAGAAAGAAGGCGAAGAAATTTTTAGAAACCTGTTGAGCGAGGAACGCGCAGAGAGAGAGTGTGGTCGGGATTGTGCCAGTGGAGCCTGTGCAGGACGCGAGAGCTGTGTGTGTCCAGGGCCAGAGATGAGGCCGTGAGAGAGGCTGTGAAAGTGCTGTGAAGTCTTTGTGTGTTGTGCGAGAGAAAATGGGCGAAGATGATCCACCCAGTTTGGAGTACATTGAGGATCCGTACTTTCCGCGTCTGGCCAACGGCGCCACGCCGTCGCTGGACGAGGTGACGGAGTTCGATCACAGGAGTCTCTTTGGCGACGAGGACACGTGCGAGTGGTCGCGCGAGACTGAACTCTATCTGAGATCACTGACCCTCGACCAGCTGCTCGGGGTGCCTGATGACGAGCTCCAGACCGTCGAGGCGGAGTTCGTGCCCGCGTCCAGGGCCAGGCGGATTCGGTTGCTGACGAAGCGGAAGCTGCGCGATGTGAAAGTGACTTTCATAGACTTCTCAAAGCCCTACTTGGCTCGCATTTCCAGCAATGAGAACTACAAGAAGTTCCTCCACTTTGGCGACGCTGGTTGATTCTTTCAGATTGAGTGTTTTTCTCTCTGTTTTCTATCTTTGTGTTTCTTGTCTCTCTTTGCAGACAACTCGGCGAAGCTGTCCGATGTATCTCCCGGATCTGTGGGATCTGCCGTTGATGTAGTGGACGAGCTGGCGGGCTTGTCGCTGGAGGAGCAGGAGCGCCAGAAGGCGGAGTGGAGCCAGGAGCTGTCGCGCGTGGAGGAGGAGATCACGACGCTGCGGACGGTGCTGGCGTCCAAGGTGCGTCACTCCAGTGAGCTGAAGAGGAAGCTGGGCATCACAGTGTGGAAGGAGATCACCGATGACATGAATCAGGGCATTAAGAATGTCAAGGAGAGCAACGTGTAAGTCCTCAAGTCGCTCGATTTGATGGTTTGTTCATTGAAAAAGTGTCCTAAATACCGCGACTTTGTCAATTTCAATGCCTTCAATGCCTTCAATGACTTCAATGGGTGATTAATTTTGCCCAGTGAAATGTTATCATGGCTGAAAAAACTCTTTCTTTCTCTCCGCGATAGTAAAACTCACACACGAGACAATGAATTAACCATTAAATGCACTTTGCATAGACTTTAGAAGCATAGTTTGCACTTTACGGTGATGGTTTTTATATGTTTATCTCTATCGCTTATCCGTATTTTTATTTCTTCTGTTTGCATTGGTCTTTCTTTTGTCATTTCTCCTTAAAATCCACCCCCAAAACACTGCCATTTGGTCTGTGGAATTGCTCAGATATCAAACGGTCGAGGAGAAGGTGGGAAATTTCACTAAAGCCGTCCAGGATGCGCCAATGTAAGTATTGTAGATTTCTTAGCTTCTGTTTTTAGCTGCTTCTGTTCTGTAGAATTTAGAGAAATTGCTTGGAAATTGCAAGGGTTACTCAAGTGGGAGAAAAGTTGTTTTTTTCATTCACCAAAATTCCTTTCCATTCCAATCAATTCTTCGAAATATTCTTTTTATCCTTCTGAAACTTATTCGAAATTGTTTTTTCGAAATCGTCTAGTTAGAGAGATATGAAGAAATTCCAGCGCAAATCTTCATTATAAGAGAATTTCGCACAAGATCGTAAAGTGTCGCGGGTTCGATTCTTCTTCAGTTGTGATTTTTTTACAACTCTTTTTCACTCCTCTTGCCTTTTACCTGTATTTTGCTTCATCTTATACTTTTTTAATCGGCATTTTTCCCTCAATTTCTCCAAGAGTTTTTTCTAATAACCCAATTTGATGCTCGGAATTGCTTTTCTTACACTAATTTTTTACTACAAAATTCTTTTTAACGCTTTAATGGTTATTCTGAGGCTTGAAACTATTCTAAATGTTGTAAAAATGTTAGAAAAACTTTGAAACTCTTTAGGAAATCATAGAGAGAGTGTTAAAATGGAAGGAAAATTGCGTGAAAATGCGATTTTAGTATAAAATTCAGTATTCCCACTAGAAAACGGGATATTTTCAACATATTCCGCGTATTTCTTGGGTTTTTCATGTTTAATTTAATCAATTCTTGTCATTCCCGTCCATTCTTCCATTCCGTCATATTTCGGACTGAAGTGGTTTTCATTCTTCGCTTGAGAAACCCTTGGGAAATTGTCTTCTTTCCCTCTGATTTGCTTCTAATTCGTGTCTCTTATTGGGGGGGTGTTTTTGCAGCTATCAGAAGACCGAAAATGTCTTCAAGTCAACAGCTGAGAAGACATCTTCACTCTTCGGTGGTCTTTCGACGAAAATCAGTCAAATGAAGAACTCAGAGTCCTTCAAGTCCTTCGAAGAGCGCGTTGGCTCAGCCTATGAGAATGTCAAGGTATGAAATATCTGAGAAAAAGTGTTTTGATTGATTTCTAACGCTGTGTTTTCTGTCCTTTCAAGCAGACGAAAGTCTCCAACAGTCGTTCCAATAGCGTCCATAGTTTTAGTGACTATCATGAGGATTCGAGAACTTCCACGGCTCCACAATCGCCCACCATTCCGGAGGAGAAGCCCCTCAAATAGAGAAGCGGTGAATCAGGCACTAAAACACAGCATCTATTTTCCTATACGTCCTGACCAGATGAAGAATATCGCGCGCGAGAGAGAGAAAATCCACTGTTGAACATTGAACCATTTATTGAACGAATCTTTTCTTTCCAATTTGATTTGTCGACACACGAATTAATTGAATGTGCACACAGAGAACGTATATATATATACCTAATTGTCTTTAACAAGAGAAAAATATATTGTGCCTAAATGGTGAATCTACGAGCGTAGACGTTGTGTGTGTGTGTGTGTGTGGAGGAATAAGAAAAAAAACAACTAAGATTTACGATGGGAGAGAAAAGCTCTATCTTACAATTTTTTTTTCAATTATATACGGCAATTGCAGATTTATATAATGGCTAAAATAAATGTTTTAAATCAATTTACATATGCAACACACGTCTGGCGACGCGTGAACCTTGAGATTCTCGAAAAGTCTCCCGGAGCTCAGCAACATAAATTCTTATTGCCATGGACAAATTTTAAACGGCGCCTTTTACTGCCTTTGGCTTGGATTTTCTTTACATGTCATGAGAATTTTGCCTAGAATGACGGCATGGCGATGGGGCGGAGCCCCTTCTTACTTCATCTGGAAATTCCGGTGGATCTCCGGCTTGATGTCATAGACGAGATCGAGGAGTTCCTGCACAACCACATCCTTGTTGGACACCAGCATTCGATTCATCTCCTCAATCTTCACCTTCGTGTCGCTGTCGATCTTCGCGGCGACGCCCTCGCGGGACCCCATGTACTGCAAATAGTGTCATTGAGAGAGAAAAGTAGAGCGCAAATCGAGTTTTTTCCCCCATCAAGATGTCCTCAGTTTTGCCCCCAAAATGCCCCACTTTTCCCTATGCGCACACTTGCTTGCCTACCTTGGCTTCGAACTCCTTGAACTGACGATCCCTCTCCTGGCGGTACTTCTCAATCTCATCCTGAGCCTCCTCCTTGGCCTTCCTCAGGCGCACAGCCTTCCCTGGAACGTGGAAGAAATGTCAGCTGTGGAAAACCTTGGAAGCGAACTCTTCGCTGTAAACTCACGTTTTCTCGCCTCGGCCACCTTCTCAGCCGCCCTCTTTTCCGCTGCCAGCAGCTGCTGAATTCCCTGCGTTTGACTTGCCATCGCAACACCTCACCAGCTCTGTCCGTGTGCTCGAGAAATGTGGCTGAAAGGCTGGACGATGGAGATGAAGAAGCGAGCAAATTCGATCGGAAAACAAGGCGTGACGTCACGAGCAGTGCTGCCAACGGTTGCGAGTCAAAGTTGCGGGAATCGATCGGTTTTCCGCATTTGGCATCATGGCCGCTCAGCGCTTCAAATAGCACAATGCTGGAGAAAAAGTACTTTTCCACCGTGTAATAGCGCCCCGCTGACCGCGTGAGTGTGTACAAAGTGTGACCCGCGTGCTGGTGAATAGATTGCAAGTGGATTTTCGGGGTGGGCGTTGTGGTGTGACGGTGGAAAAGTGGTGAGAAGTTGGCGTGTGACATTTTCCCTGGTGTGGCCTTCTCGCGCGCGCGTCGTTTTTCCCCCGGACGGGTGAGTCTCCCGGACACGGTTTTGGCTGTTTGTGCGCGTCCGGGACTGTAAAATGACGCCAAGCTCTGTTGACAATGTCGAATTCGGTATTTACGGACTTCACGGCACAAAATAGGATTGACAACAGCTTGGTAATTGTTATGAATAAGGATGGAAGCGTTGTGTCCGTAGATCCAACAGCTCTTCGCAGTTATTTGAGTAAAATTCACTCCAAACAAACGATAAAGTGCCTCCGGAGCCGCCTAACTGACGCCGTGTGCTTGGAATTATTGCAGAAAATGAGTCTGGAAACACATCCGTGAGCGTCGTTCGAGTGACATCGCCAACGCCGAGTCTGAAGGAGGAGCTGGAGCGGGAGGAGCAGCAGCTGGACAAGGCCGGGGATGATATGGACATTGAGGCCACACGGAATGATGCAGACGAGGAAGCACCACATGTTAGGGTTACAGTTGAAGACTTTTATCCGCCGGATGAAGCCAAGAAGCTCGCTTCTGAAATCCTCCGTGAGTCTCTACAGCTTTTCTTTAGGCCATAAAATGTGATATGATGTTCTCTGGGCTGTTTTCAGAGTATGCTGGCATGAGTTCCCATTTACTGCTGGACATTGACAATGAAGAACGCGTTAAGAGCATCCACAATGATCACTGCTACACGCCGCTGACTTCGCCGAGTCAGAGACACCCGGCCAGTCGCTCGCAGACGCCCACAGTCGCCCAGCCGGCCAAGGAGGTGAAGAGGAGCGTGGAGAGTGCGCCAGCGGAGCCTCGCAAGCCGGCAGCAGCCAAGGAGGAGTCCGAGGGCGAGAAGTCCGATGCCACAGAGTCAACGGAGAGTGACAGTGAATTCAGTGTGAGTGAGAGTGAGAACGATCGGGACAGTGATCTGGACTATACGGTGAATGATCGTGTGTCGCGTCGGGCGCCGAAGAAGATCCGCGGTCAGGGGAATAATAAGGCGAATCAGAGCGCGCGGAGTCGCGGCGTCGCGCGGAAGCGGCAGAGCATTGAGGAGAGTGGCGGTGAGGAGGAGGAGGGCAAGGACGATAGTGGGAAGAAGAAGGCCAAGCCGAGGCCTGTCAAGGCGTCGCCGGTGAAGGTGAAGAAGAGGGAAGAGGAGCCGCCGAAGGCAGTTGTTGTTGAGCCGGTGAAGTCGCCAGTTGTGCAGTTGCTGGTGAAGAAGGAGAAGAAGCCGCCGGCGCATGTGGAGGCTCTCTTCACGGACATGACGTCGCTCTTCTCTGCGCCTGACATTATCAAGAAGGTATCGGCGGAGGTGACGAAGCAGGAGCCGCCGCCGCTCGTGTACGCCAAGACGTACGCGCAGAAGAAGGACACTGCCCTGGAGACGGACAGGGATCAGCTGGAGTTGATTGATTCGATTGTGAAGCAGGAGCTGGAGAAGACGCAGATTGACGGCGGGAGTCAACAGATGGCGGAGGATATTCCGAGTATTGTGAAGATGCTGGAGAATCCGGAGACGACAATTGATCCGCAGCTGCTGAATGATGTGATTGGGCTGAATAGTGCCCAAGTGGCCACCAGCAGTGCTGCGGCGCAGTCCACGACGGCGACCACGACGGATCTGGACCTGCTGGCCGGCCTCACGTCTGAGGATGGGCTTCCGGAGGATTTGCTGCAGCACGTGGCGGAGTTGGTGGAGAACAAGAATCTGCAGGAGGTGATAGACAAGCAGGTGTTGTGCGTGCAGACCTCCTTGGCCACCACCTCCATGTCCGCCGTGTCCACGCCGACGCTCACGAGCACACCAAAGACCGAGGAGCGCGAGAGTCCGTTCGTGAAGCTGGCCAAGCAGAAGCAGATGGCCAAGGAGGCGGCCGCCAGCATCATGTCGGTGAATCGCAAGGAGCCCATCACGATTGTGCGGAGCGACGGGCGAGTGATCACGCTGCCGCCCATTGAGGCGCCCACGACGAGGGGCGCCAAGAGGCGCGCCCAGAGCTCAGCGTCCACGCCCAACACATCCGTGGCGTCCTCGCCGACGTCCACGCCGCAGCACAAGCCGAGGGAGGCGGAAGTGCTGCCGGCGGTGAAGAAGATCGTGTCGAAGGAGGCTTCGTCCAAGTCCAACAGTCGCAGGACTTCAGCGACGCCTTCGGTGGCGGAATCCGAGGACAACATGGACTCTGACGCCAGCTGGAACTCTGAGGATGACCCGGATAGGTGAGTGGATTGTTTCCTTGGTCTCTGTGACACTCAATAAATCGTCTTGAATATTATCCTCCAGATGGGACAAGAGAGGGACAAGAGGAAGAAGACTGACGTGATTTTTATTAATTGTTTCTATTGTCATGTTATGATTTTATTACCAATAAAGCCACTGAGTTTTCGTTTTGATTGGAAATACTTTGATCACTTTCACGCTTGTCTTGTTGATCATCTCGTCTTGGAACATCTCAGTCAAGTTGATTAGTCAATTTCTCACACTGTTTGTCGTCTCTTTTCTTGCAGATTGTGGTGCATTTGCAAGCAGCCGCACAACAATCGCTTCATGATCTGCTGCGACTCGTGCGAGGATTGGTTCCACGGCAAGTGCGTGAACATCACGAAGGCGATGGGGCAGCAGATGGAGGAGCAGGGAATTGAGTGGCGGTGTCCGAATTGCCTGAAGAAGAGCGGCCCAGCCAAGGTTTGTCTTTGACTTCCATCTAAAAAGCTCTCGCGCAACACCAGAAACACCCTCAGTATCTTATCGCTGAAGTCTCTGCAGCTTCGCATACGATAAGTTTTCTCTCTTTTTTGGCACTTTGCCGCGACAGTGATTGCAGAAATTCACATTTCGACGGGTGAAAGGAAAACTGTGAAAAGCCAAAAACGCCATTTTTCCGGCAAAGTTAGTGCAAATTTAGCTGCGAAATTTGCTAAATTTACCTCAAAACGCCTTCAAATCATCCGTTAAAGTGCAAATATTGTTCTGTATTTTTATTTTGTGAAAATTTCAGATGATTTTTTGGTATTTATCGGAATTTTTAACTAAAATATGACAAAATAATTAGAAAATCCGAAAATATTACTTTTCAAAGTCGATTTTATCCAAACAAAATTAAAAAATCAACTTTTCTTTGCAGTTTTCAAGTGAATAAATTTAAAAGATATGAAAAATATTCATTCAAAGTCTAAAAAACATTTAAAGAAGATTCTGAAAACCTGTAATTATTTTCTGAAAAGGCTTTTTATGCGTTTGATTGCAATTTTGAGACATTTTGAACAGTGAATATTCGACTTTTCATTCAGAAAACATGACAATTTTTTCATTTGTGCTTTTTAGAAGAACAAATAAGACGAAAACTATGATAAATCGATTTTCCATAGTTTTCAATTCACCCTTCGATTTATTTGTATATTTTGTGGGCTTTTCCGTCTTGTCCTGCTGAAGGTGTTTCTGAGAAGAAGAGAGAGAAAGAGAGAGAGAGAGAGAAAAAGGGGGAAATTGAGAGTGATGTGAAGTGAAATAGAGAAGATTATGTTTACCCAGAAATATTCACATTAGTAATGCCAAAGTGACTTCGCCGGATGGACGTTTGTGTGATAAGAAAAGCCATCTGTTTTTCTCACACGAGCCGGCGAAGTAATTTTGTGTGGCTAAAAAGAAGAAAGAAGCAAACAATTGTAAATTTAAGTAGTTTAATTCGAGTAAAGTAAACAAAAACTAGTTGGAGAAACATTATTATGCACAATATTCCAAATACTTTCTCAAACTGAAATCACTGAAATAGTGTGTTTGATAATGTTTCTCGAAAATTGTATTGTGTAATCTACTAACACAACAGATAACAAGATTTCCAGAAGAAGGAGAAGAAAGAAAGAAAGTTAGGAACAAAATTGTCTCTGAGAAAAATACTTGTATTGTATTGTAAGATATTGTTCTCAAGCATGTTTAAACGTCTCAATTGTGATATTAATCATAACTAAAAACTATAATAATAATAGTAATTTAACTGATATTATGATAACTATTAAATCATGAGAGAGAGAGAGAGAGAGAGAGAGAAAGTGAGACGGAGAAGAGAGAAAATGCAAATTTATTTAAACAAAAATAATAGATACTGAAAAAAATTTGCAAAATAAAGAAGATTTCTTTCATGTGCTGGAAAAAGGCAAAAAAAACATGGAATTTTCAATTCCTTTCTGTTTGGTAAAACCAAAAAACAAACAAAAAACAGTCGAACCTCTCAAGAATTATTTGTTGTGTTGGTATAAATTCAGCATTTTCGTCCTAAGTTTTCTCCCACTCATATTTTTCTCTCTTTCTTTCTCACATAATATCAATTATTTTTCCGTTCTGTTGCTCTCTTCCTTTAATTTACCATCGTTTTTTTTTTCTCTCTTTGCTTTTTTGCCCGGCGTCCGCAGAAGGGCGCGCCGGCGGACGATGCCTCAGCCGCACAGTCGCCCTCGTCGTCCGGCGGTGGATTGTTGAGTTGCATTGTGTGCAAGAAGGCGGCACGACTCAATTCCATCTACTGCAGTGATGATTGCATTCGCAAGCACGCCATGGTCACCACGAAGATCACAACAACCAAGGAGACGACGCCGGCCAAGGCGCCGCCCGGGGCGCCGACGACGAAGAAGGTTGGCGTGCTGAAGAACAAATTCGATCGGGTGATTGTGTACAACAAATTGACTGGCAAGTGTCTGAGCGGTGAATCGGCGCCGACGCTCACGAACCTCAAGCACTGGCTGTCGGAGAATCCCAACTATGAAGTCGTGCAGCCGGGCAGTGCTCTTGGGCAGGCATTTAAGGTAATCCTCCGATGTCAGAAAAGGGATTTCTGAGTCCAAATCACATGATAGATTGATTTATATGCTGTGTTTCTCTTGTTCTTCAGGCAAAACAGGCGCAATTGGCCAGCATTTCCAAGCAAATGGCTCTCAAGAGGCAACAACAGCAAGTGGAGAAGGAGATTCCGGCGAAGGATAAAGTGCAGGGACAGTTGAAAGTGACACAAAAAGGTCAAGTTGTCGTGATGCATCCGAGTGGAAAGGTGACAGCGAAGCCGGTGAAGCAACCACAGCCCTCAACATCAGCCTCATCATCATCGGCGTCTTCATCTGGACAGAAAGCGACGATGCTGAAGCAACAGACTTTACCCGTGGTGAAGACGAAGAGATCTCCGAGTTCTGGTGAGCAGAAGGTGACGCGAGGAGAGCCGGAGCCAATCAGGGTGAATGTGAGGCGAACACTGAAGGAACAATTGACCAGCAGAATAGCTGATACGCCTGATGTTCAGGGTAAATTGACAGCTGAAGAAGTGGCGAAATTTGCCACAGAAGTTGAGTATGAAATGTTCACGCTATTCAGTAAGGACACAGGAACGAAGTATCGAGCGAAATATCGTTCGCTGATGTTCAATATAAAAGACAGGAAGAATATGTCGCTGTTGGAGAAGATTTGTGAGAAGATGATTCTGCCCAGTCAACTTGTCCGGATGGCGCCGGAGGAGTTGGCGAGTCAGGAGTTGGCACAGTGGCGTGAGAATGAGAACAAACATCAGTTGGAGATGATTAAGAAGTCAGAGTTGGATTTGCTGGCGTGCGCGAAGAATTACGTGCTGAAGACGCACAAGGGTGAGGAGGTGATTGAGAGTAGAATCAGCGAGCGTGTGACGCTGGATCCTTCCATTGCTGTGGAGGATGTTGTGTCAGTGCTGAACAATTCCACTGTGACGAGCAGCAGTGAGCAGGCGGGCGGAGCCAAAGACAAGGCGTCGGGCAGGGGTGAGAAGGGAAAGGATGTGGTGAGCAGCAGCAAGAGTGGTCACTCCAGCAAGAGCAAGAAGCGCAGCAGGAGCAGAGATCGTCATGATTCGCGCAGTAACAAATCGTCGAAGCATAAGCGGAAACGCAGTCGAGATCGACGCAGTCGGAGCAGAGAGAAGGAGGATCGTCACAGGGATGGCAAGAAGGGGAGCAGAGATAGCAGGGATCGCGACAGGAAGGGTGTGTCGTCCAGCACGAAGAAGGAAGTGAAGCCGACGATGGTGAAGGAGGTGAAGACGACAGGAAGTGAGCGAAAGGAGGAGAGTTTCAATTTCAATCTCATCGATAAGATTCTCAAGGCATCGGAGATTATTGAGAAGCAGCCGACATTCACGGAGGAGAAGATCAATGAGGAACAGCAGCAGCAGCAGCAGCTGGTGAAGGATGTGCCGAAGGAGAGTAAGATTCCTGAGCCACCGAAGAAGTCAATGAGTGTGGAGAGTGATCAGGAGCCATCTAGTACCATCACAATTCCCACGCCACCAGAGACGGCATTTGAGGAGGAGGCGTCGGAATACGAAACGCCGCCCAGCGTCTGGACGGGCAGCATTAATATGGTGGATGTGGCGACATTCCAGATCTCGGCGTTCAGCGTGAGTGGCGAATGTGAGCCGGTGGGCAAGGAATTGCCGGCAGCGCTGGACATTGTGGGCAGAATCAGTCCTGAGACGGTGTGGGAGTACATCAGTAAGATCAAGAAGAGTGGCAACAAGGAGATACTCATCATGCAGTTCAAGGCTGAGACGGAGTCTGAGCAGGCAAAGTACTTTGCTCTCTACTCCTATCTCGACTCCCGGAAGCGTCTGGGCGTGGTGAAGACAGCTTCCACGTCAATCAAGGACTTCTACATCTCACCATTGGCCGCTCACAAGTCCCTGCCGACTGTGCTGTTGCCAATTAAGGGCATTGGCTTTGAGGATAATCGTCCTGACCTTCTTCTGGGCATCATTGTGATGATCAAGACGGGCGTGAAGAGAATCGCCACAACTCAAGTGTCCTCAAAGGTGAGTTTGTGGATGAAATTTCTGTGCACATTTGCTGAACTGTTTTGTGTCTTTTCAGCACACGAAGAGGATCGGCGGATTGTCGAAAGTGACAACGGCGTCCAGCGATGGCAACACACCGCCCACAAGTCCCAATCAGTCGACTGTTATCAAGAACAAGAGTCTGCATGAGTCACGGAAGAAATTGATGATGATTATGCCGAAGCAGAGTGTTAAGGACAAGGCTTCAGTGAAAGCGGCAAAAAGCACAGTTGTCCCTCAAGGTATGTTATCTAGTATTTGCATTGAGAGAACAATTTCCTCGCGATAACGCATCAAGGAAAGTCCTCGAATTATTTTATATATAGCATGAGAAAGTTGATTTGATTGTGAGTCCGTGAAATTTTGCGTTGAAGATTTTAATAAGCGGAGAAGTTGTGTAATTTTTGTCTGTGTGGTGAAAAGAAGAGTGAAAATTGTGATTCACCGCATTAGCATTTTCTCGCACATAATATCTAGTTTTGTAGGTCACAAAGAGGGGCGGGAGAAAGAGTGAAAAAGTTGTTAATTGCAAAATTTGCATTTCAAGGATTTGTCTGATTTTTTTTTCACCTCAAACTTGTGGCTTTTTTAATGTGTTCCTCTATGTTTTCCAAATAGGGGAAGAATGGAGTCAGCGTAAGAGTATTTTTTTCTTAATTTTTGAATCTCTCTAAGCGGTCGTTGCAACTTTAATTTCCTGACATTTTAAATAAGCTGTCAAAGTTGTAAAGTTGGAAAACTGCGTTGTAAGATTACGATTCATAACATTTACGAAAGTATAGGGTATTTATCTTCTGCAAGTCCTGAAACGTTTCAAACGTTGATGTCTGAAGACAATTGATAGATTTCGTCGCGTGAAGTTAAGAAAAACCGGAAAATTCGCGTGAAAATTAAGGAATTTGACAATAATGACGTTTTCAGATTGATTAGTACAAATTTATCTTGTCATTTGTACACAATTCAATGCACCAGATTGAGGTTATGTGTTTCCGGACATCTTTCAACTTATTAGAAGAAGAAACTTATTGATTTCTGAAAACATTTACAACTCCTAACATTGAAAATATTTCTCGGTAATGAACGAAAACTCATGGAAGTTCCTTGAGATTAGTTTGGGAAGATCATTTTCTTACATCAGGGAGCAGAAACCGGGTGGAAGTTGGAATATTCTGGCCTAAAAACACTCTTAGAATCGCCGCTGAAAAGTAGTCAAAATATGACAAAATATGACTTTTTGACACAGGAATTTCATACTAAACTAACTCCACATTAAGACTTTCATCGTCATCTGTATTTAATTTGTACTTTAACACTAACGCCACCGCACGGCTGTCAATAAAAGCTATGAAAAGTGTAAAGTTGCAACTGAAATTCGTAACTTGTACGAATTGAAATACGAAATCTGTAATGTTGCAACGACCAATGAATTATTGTTTGAAAGGTTCTTAATTGGAATCTCCTCGAATTAGGGATTGAATTTAAGAAATTAGTCCAAATTGGCCCCACTTTCCTCTATTTCTGTTTGTGTTCTTAATTAATATATCTGACGGACAATTTTTGAACATATTTTTATGAGTTATAATTAATCCACAATGGTGATTTATGAGGGACGTTTTGCATTTGAATATTCACGAGAAAACGCCTACGAATGGCGGCGTTTATTTGTTTTGGCCGAAGAATTTTATATATACAGGAAATTGGCGGTGTGAATTTGAATACTGGACTCATTATGGTTGTTTGTTTGCTTTGCTCACGTTGCAGAATCAAATCCTGACGATGATGAGCCTTACTCTCCTGGCGGGAGTGACGAGGAGATTCCCGTGATTCCGCCTGTCGCGTCAGCGGTCATGAATACTCTCGATGCCGATGATATTCAGCGGAAGATGGAAGAGTTGAATCGCCAGATTGGGGCGAAGAAGATGGAAATTGCGGGGATTCTGAATAAGGGACAGGATGCTGTGGATGAACCCTATTCACCATCGAGACCCGTCACTCCGCCGGGCATTTCCGCCATTCCCGCTGCCATTCCTTCGCTCGCCAACATCTCCATTCCATCCAATCTGTCGGAGATACTAGCGAGCATAAAGAATGTCTCGGGCAGTGGAGGAGCGCCTCTGGTGACTGCGACGTCCGTCGCTGGCGCTCCTGCTGCGCTGGAGGCTGAGGATGATGAGGAGTATACGCCGATGGCGACGTCAAGTGCAGCGGCGGCGTCTTATCAGGCGGTGGATTACAAGCCAGCCGGATGCAAGTCTGTGGACAATTCGGGGCCCAGCAAACTGGCTCAGTTGAGTGAAGAGGAATTGCTGAGCATGGTTCCCGACGATGCCATTCTGGAGGACATCAAGGCGTCCAAGGCGGAAGAGGTGGAAGAGCCTAAGGAGGAGTATGAACCAGCAAGCAAAAAGGCCAAATCATCTGAACCTCCGCCGCCTGGACTTGAGGATGAATATGAGCCAATGTGAGAAGGTAAAGAGAAGCGATTTCTTTTTTCTACATTAACACAGAGAGAGCGAGAGCGAGAGAGAGTTTTAAGTGTATAAGAACTGCAATTTGCCCTTATTTCTTCATTGTAGTTCCTAGCTAAAAAAAGAAAATATGCTATTATATACTTTGAATTTAATTAGAGCAAGAGATTTTAGTCTTATCATATTGGTAAAATGCGATAGAGGAAGTTTTAGTGAGAATTATATTACTATGATTGGAAGTGCGTCGAAAAGGTGAAACAAAATGATTAATTCTACATTATAAACTAATAATAAAATGAACAATGTACTGATGCAAGAGTTGTGCTCCTTATTAAGCCACCACCCCCTTTTGTCGCCTGGCCGGCCAATGGTTGAGCCGAGAGTGGAAAAAAAGCGGCGGCGGCAAAGAGTTTAATGGGGAAAAAAAGTGAATGTGGCCGATTAGAACTCGTTTTGCCGTTGAAATCGCGCAACACAAAAGACTCTCCTCAGCAATGCAAAGGCGCAAAGTTCCTGGTTTGGAGAACCCCGAGCAATATCAATCAATGTGTTTGATGTCTCTAATCCGGGTTTGTTCGCCCGGCCGAGCAGGCGGCGTCAGAGTTGATGAGAAGTCTAGTAAAAGTCTGCAAAAGCTCTTGCGCCGCGTGGCGATCAACTCTGATGTGTGAGCGCATTGTTTGACCATCGAGTGTCGTGTTTATCCGTGATCGTGAATTGCCCGGGCGCCACCTTGAACTGCCGATGACACACACGCAAGCGCTGCTCAACCTTGGATCTCTGGGCAATTTGCTGTGTGGAGAGAAAAAAATGCCCAGCGAAAGGACGTGGGAAACCCTCTGAGCGGGTTTTTTTTTCTACTCGTTCGGGGCGAAGAATCCCCCCAGAAAAAACAGAGCTTTCTCGAGAGAGAAAGACATCATTTGAACTTGAGACGCGCGAGAAACCATTGAAAAAAAAAGCATTTGTATCTTGCAAAATGTTTTAACACTCTCGACCTTAAGACTATTGCTCAATGTTGATCAGCATAAAAGAGTTTTTGTATCAACTTGCTCTCTGTGGTCAATATATTTATTTAATTATGTGTGATCGATTAAAAATGCCCCCTCAAGGCGGTGCGCGACATGAGAGTTTTCAGAAGAGAGACAAGAGACGCTTTCGTGCACTTCCTTGCCCAAGGGCACACGCCTCACGCCAATCCACACACGCTCGATTGATTAGAATTCTCTCTGGCTCTTCCGGCTGGACCTTGGATTAGGCACATTTCCGGCCTCCAACTGACAGGATTTTACAGATTCCTCGCGTCTCGCGATTGTCATGTGTGAGATTTATTGGAATCCAGCTGTTCAATCTCGTGATCTTGCGGCCCATTCAGTGGCGTAGTGAATGTGGTCAATTGCTGACAAATCGCTCTTTTGTGGTTTCCTTCGGATATTCGTCTTGAAACTCAAGAACACACACGATGAAATTGTCGCTAAGCTGAATTGAGGGAAATGTGGATCAATTCCCAGTCAAACACAGCCAAATGTTAAACTTTGAATCCCCTTAAAATCACTGTTTTAGAGTTTTAAGCAATTCCACAATGTGTAAGAGAGGAAAAACGTTGAAATTCAAGTAAAGAATTAGTAAAATCGTGATAAGAAGAATTTTCTGCAATAATTTTTCATGATCTTGATTGAAAATCAGAGAGCATTTCCAGTCAAACACATGAATGTTAAACTTTAACACACTTTTGTATTCCCAGTAAAACAGTGTGTTAGTGTTAGGGAGTTTTACGCGATTCCACATTGTCTAAAAAGAGGAAAATTGTGAAATTTACCAAGATTATCAAAAATACAAGAAAAAAATCAGTAAATCTGTGATAAAAAGAATTTACTGCAAATATATTTAATGTTCATGCTTTAAAATTAGAGCCACAATCAATTATTTCTTAAAACAACATCTGAAAGTCAGTTTAAAATAACACAAGTGGTTATTTTTTAACCACAAAATCGTCATTTGAAGTTGTTATATGTATAAATATGAAGAGGGCGTTAGGGTAGAATTCACCACATTTCGAAGTATGGAATAATTCACCACTGGCATTGCCGGCCATCTTGTATTTGGATGGGATTCACCAAAGTCTCAATCTTAAAAGGACTTTTGCATATTTTAAACCAATATTACACATTTTTAACACATCTTGTTTGAGTGGAAATCGCTCAAGAAGTTGTTTTTAAAGAAAATCTGTGACTCAGAATAGCAAAGGTGTGTGTTAAAGCAATATAACACATTTTTTTTACACATTTCTTGTGTGACTGAGAATTGCTCCACATTCTTCTACGCCACTGTTTTGTGTGAATTTTCGGAAAATGGTGAATCGCGGCTTCCTCTGTCTTTGTTTCTTCGCCTCTATGAATTATTTAAGATCAATAAAATCGGTCTTAATTAGTGCTTCCACTTTGATGTAATTTCCAGCACGTGGAGCGCCGCTCGGGTGTCGTTAAATTGCAATGTGAGGTGAGAGGAGATCTGCCTTTGTGGCTGTTCTTAGCCACTCAGATCCGCTGTTCTAGGTCAACTTTGCACAGGGAACTTCAGTTGTCCTCTGTGAGACCTTTCTTTGCCCCAATTCCGCCTCGGTCGCGTGAAGAATGTACTTATTCAAATGTTTAATTAAGCCAAACAGAAGCTGGTGGAAAAAATCCGATCAAATTATATTTATTTATTGTTGGGAAAAACATGAGAGAACGAGAGAGAGAGAGACCTTAAGAGCGCCAGCGGTCAGAGAGGTCAAAATTGGCCATTCTTTGAATATAAAAGCGTGAAGTTTGTCTTGGCGCTGGCTGAGATGAATCGTGTTTGCTGATGGATAGGAAGAGAGGCAGTAATTCGGTTATGCAATGCGCCGAGAGTACAAATAGTCGCTCAATTGTCGCTTTCTTTTCTCCGAGATGATGATGTGGGAAAGTTTATGGGAAATCTCTTTCCAAACCAAAAAAATCCTCACGTAGCAACAATTCCTCCGTGGATCACGTGAACATTGTGACACAACTCGTGTGCGACGACGAAGAGACTCTCGTCTGATCTTGCACTACATTTGGATTTCCTTGTGGCGGAAAATTACTCGCAACTCAGTGAGTCAGTCGGAGAATTCTATGGAAAAACAAGCAAAAGTGGAGGATTTTCGAGAATATCGCCGTGCCGCCCAAGGAGAAAGAGATCTCAAGTGTAGAAATTCTCTGTGATTTGGTTTTTTCCACTTCGACGGGTGTCGCGAAAACTATCAAAAGTAAAAATCCCAGTTTTTCAGCAAAGCGAGTACAAAATTTAGCGTTAATGAAGCTGCGAAATTGACTTCAAAACTCTCAAAACGCCTTCAAATCGTCCGTTGAAGTGCAAATATTGCTCTGTATTTTTTATTTTGTAAATATTTCAGATGATTTTATTGAAATTTATGACTAAAATATGACAAACTTAATAGAAAAACTGAAAATATTACTTTTCAAAGTCGATTTTTATAGTTTTCGAGTCGATTTTATCGAAAATGATTTGAAAAAACCAACTTTTCATTCTTCACTTGAACTTTTCTTTGCAGTTTTCAAGTGAAACAATTTAAAAAATATGAAAAATATTCATTCAAAGTCTAAAAAACATTTTTGGATAATTCTGAAAACCTAAACTTATTTTCTAAAAAGGCATTTTATGCATTTGATTGCAATTTTTAAGACATTTTTCGAAATTTTGATTAATAAAACATGACATTTTTTTTCATTTGTGCTTTTTAGATAAATAAGATTTTTTACAATTGTTTGATAAGATAAAATCTCAAAATTTTTGTACTGACAAATCGACTTTTCATAGTTTTCTGCTCACCCGTCGATATAATGTTATTTTCTACACAGTGTGGATTAATGATGGGGGCAAAAAAGTGCGTTTCTCGTTATGCAAATTCCACGATCTTGCCTTCCTCCGGCTTGTCTGTGACAGACAATTGACAGACTCTTGGACGGATTTTTCCACCCGCCAGGCTGGTCCTCAAGTTCGCCAGAAGGGCGAACACAGATTGGCTAATTGGGATGCTGCTGAGCAGCGGCCAGAAGAGGCAGTTTTTGTCAGCCAGTCGATCATTCCCGCAATGAGAGCACAAGTGAGAAGAGAGAAACAACAATAAAAAAGCGGTAAAAGTATAACAAAATCACCTTGAGAATCAATAAGAATCTACATTATAAGCGCTGAGAAATACACCCATAATAAAGTGCCTCTGAGCGGCACAGTGGCGAGCAAAAGCTTCTCGTCCACCCAGGAAAAATCCTCTCAATCACAGCTGAGAGACACTGAAAAAGCACAACATTTGTGCAATTGAGTGTAAAATACTTAGGCAAACTGTACCGCATGTAATTAAATTAATTGATTTTATTTATTTATTTCTCTCCGTGCCTCTTTTTTCCCACCAATCAACGCTGTGGCAGAAAAAACCAGGGGAGAATTAAAACATTTTTCATATTAGCGCACAATTTTTAATTATTTACTTCCTCAATAGCACAACAAATCGTGGCAAATGCTGAGATCTTTTTCCCGCATTCAGAATTCAACTCTCTCGTCAGGTGCAACAATTTGAGAAGAAACACTTTCGCTCATGAAATGCCGCCAAGCAACAAGGAAAAGCCGCACACAGCTTTCTGATAAGCTTGAGAGTTTGCATTGAGAGATGGAGAACAGAGATTTATTGTCTGTTCCTTTCTGTTGGTCTTTTCCAACACGTCAAAGAATCTATTCCGTCCTTTCTATTGCACACATTTACTACATTGTATTGACTCTTGATGTTAATGATATGAAATATGGTAATGAGAATAAATTAATGCTGTTTGAGATTTCAAATCGCTTCGAGCTTTGACTAATGTTTCTCTTAAATTGATAATATTGGTAAATTTCCATTGATTTCTAAGGAATTTAAGTTGAACTTATTATGCTTGACTATGCCACTGTTCGCGGTTCCGGGAAGAAAATCTACTTTCCCCCATTTTTCTCTGGATCAAATGTTGGTCTTAATTTTATATTGAATACACGATAAGTGCTATTGAAGACCGATCTTCTGCTGCAGAGATTTTGATTCTGTATCTTCCTGCTAAACCAGGACCAGCCATCAAGTTCTGCAGCAGAGATTTTAATGTCAAAATTTTGTATCATTTGCTACTCTTTGAGGCCATTGATCGTATTTAAAAGAAAGCCAATCTTCTCTAGTTGTTTATTTTAGCGACCCGGATAGGATTTGAGGGATTAATTGTACAAAAATGTTGCAAAGAAATTTGCACTGCAAAGGCAATTTTTT